TCCTCCTCCTCCTCCTCCTCCTCCTCCTCCTCCTCCTCCTCCTCCTCCTCCTCCTCTGTACACGCGTCGAGTCCAGTGCGGTCGCGCCACATCTGACATCCTATCCCTCCCTTGGAGGTCGCTGGGGCGGGGGGGGGGGACAGCGGTGTTTCGAGGGCTGGGTCCTGGTGCGCTCGGCCGGCGCGCCAGATCCGTCAATCGCATACGGCCCCCATTTGCAAGAGGCTAAGGAGCTCGGATCTTAGGTCTGCTCCGAACGCCGATCGGGCTGCTCAGGTTGGCTTTTACCCTACGAGCATGATGCCCCCTTCGTCGCTCCAGAAGTAGAGATCTCGTTCGCTGCCGCTCGGCGAGCTTCCATCCCTTCCACCCATCCCATCCCATCGCGCTGATGTTGTCTCTATCCGCCTGTGCGTGTCACAGCGGACCTGGAAATCTACAAAAGACCCCACAATCTCGTGCCCAAGCGTGAAAAAAAGGAGCTGCGCACATTGGAATCAGGATGTGGCGGATGAAATGAACATTAGGAAGAGGAGGAGGAGGAGGAGGAGGAGGAGGAGGAGGAGGAGGAGGAGGAGGAGGAGGAGGAGGAGGAGGAGGAGGAGGAGGAGGAGCAAGTGAGGAGGAGGAGGATGGAGGAGTTGAAGACGGAGGAGGAGGAGGATGTGAGAGAGGAGGGGAGGAGGAGGAGGCCAAACACAGGAGCAGTGAGGAGGATCATGAAGGAGGACGACAAGAACGAACAACAACACCAGGAGCTGCAGTGTAAGGAGCGGGAGGAGCAGGAGAACCAGGGAGAGGCGGAGGAGGGGGGGGTCGACACCGATACAAAGGAGCCAACTGCCCAAACGTTGCCCGCGGTGGGACCAGAGCGCCACTCTGAACGACGGGAGCATAGCGCCAGTCCGAAAATGAGGTCCACGCTTCAGCAAGAACACCCTTTTGAAACACCGAAAACAATCGAAGTATATAATTCAAAGCAACATGTGACATTCACTGTGGACAAAAGCATCACGCGGTGAGAACCGGGTTATCTTCGGGATGGAGTCAGGTGAGAGAGGGGAGTAGTATTTCATAATGTGTAATTGTGGACGGCGAGGGGGGGAGAGAGTTGGGGGGGTAGCAGGGGGAAGTGGGCGAGAGGATAGGGAGGCGGGGAAGGGGGACGAGGAAGATGGAGAGACGATGGCGAGGAATAGAGGACCCGCTCCCCCTGCTCCTCCTCCTCGGCCCTCCTCCCTTCCAGCTCCTCCGCTCTCCTCCCTCCTCGCTCTCCTCCTCCTGCTTGTTTGCCTTCTGCAGCCGCCGGGCTGAGCACTCCGATCGTCCCTCTCGGCGTGGCGAAGACAGCCTGTGCCTCCGCGCTGCGAGCCGCCATTTTGGGCGCGACGAGCAGAAGCGGAGATGTGTAGACTAGCTGCCTCCCGTTCCTCCTCGTCGTCGTCCTCCTCCTCCTTCTCCCGACGTTTCATCCCAGTCCAAATTTCTTTCTGATGCCTTTCTGCCTGCCTCCTCCTCCTCCTTCCTTCCGTCCCGTCCTCCTCCTCCTCCTCCTCCTCCGCCTCCTCCGACCACCACCCCCAGCACTCCGGGTGCTTGTCCCCAGGCGAGCCAGGACGAGGAGCGCACTTCTTATCAGCGATGCGACTCTCCCACGCTCCCGCGCGGCGGACTCTTTGTCCCAATACACTGCAGTTCGGCTGGGCGGCATCGGGTGCCCGACGCCGTCGGCTCGCACCCCAGCACAACCCAGCCCCAAACTACTCGGCCCAGCGCGCGCCAGCCCACCCGAGCCTACCCGCCACCTTTCCAATCCCGCTCCTGCAGCCTGGTTGGCGCGGGCCCCGACAGTCCCCGCACTGCCAGGCACCGCCGACATATCGTGGAGGTGGCGACACCCTCAACCTGAGCATCCCGCTCCAAGCCACCTGCTCCTCCTCGTCCGCGCTGTCCTCGTCGACCCTCGTGATGCCCACGAGCTTCGCTGCGCATGCCGCCTAGGTGCAGCAGAAGCCACCCAAGGGGGCCGACCGAGAAGACAGCGTCCTCCTCCTGGAACCGCCAGCCGCACGCTGCACCCCACTTGCTCCTATCGCTCTCTGCCAGGACCTAGAGACACCCCGCGTGCACCTTCGACGACCTGACGTTGAGCACGCACACCCAGGACCTGGAGCTTTGCAGCTTGACGATGTTGTCGGCGTTGATGGGGAAGGTGCCCTCCTGGACCGCTTCCTCCGATAGGTCCTCAAACTCGGCCTCCTTGTCGCACCTGGCCTCGGCCCAGCAACCCCGCTCCGCCATGCGGGTCTCGAGCTCGCGCCTGAGCTTGCGCGCGTCTTTGACAAGCGGCGCGAGCTCTCTGATCAGTGCTGCCACTTCTCAGAGCTGCATCTCTTCGCGCACCTCCTGCCTCGCCCGCTTATGCACCGAGCCCTCGCGCCCCCTGTGAGACCAGCCCGCGCGGAGCTCCGCGAACGCCTCGCCGACGTAGATCCCCACGGTGCTACCGCTCCAACGTCCCAGGTGCTGTGTCTACCAGGGCGAACTGCGCGCCAACCCTCCTCGGCGTGTTCCCAGACACCTCGGCGGCGACTGGATGGCGAGCCCGCGGGACTTCTGCTCCGCTCGCGCTTAGGACCGCGCCCTGCGCTCGCACCCGAGATTTTTTCGGGGCGGACATTCGTTCGTGTATTCCGTGCGGCGCAACAGGCGCCGCTCCTCTCTGTTTCCTTGCGGCAAGCGAACTCCCTAACGCACGGCGCTGGGGGTTCGCGCCGCCCCCGTGGCTCGGCCGGGCGGCGTCGGGCGCCCCGCGCCGTCGGCCCGCGCCCCGGCACAGCCCGGCCCCCAGCTACTCAACATGTGCATCAGTTTCATAATCCGTCAGACGGCCCGCCGCCAAGCAGGTCCTCGCTGCGGCGCGGTGTCCCGCCTCGGTCTACGCGGCGGCCCCAGAGTCGCCGCGCCTGACCCAGGCTGACCAAGCCTCGACAGGGCGTCGGCCCACTCGTTGTTCTCACCCCGCACTTGCACGAGGTGCAACCAGGGCTCGTAAGTGGACAGCGCCACGTCGAAGGATATTCCCCTGGCAATGGTGTTGACATGTGCGACTTCGACCTCGCTTTTTCGAATGCGGCCAACTCCGCCGTCGAGTCCGACTTGACCACCAAAGCGACTGCGTCGTCGCACCAGAAAAGCGCCCCAGCCTGGATCGCGGCAAGCAGCGCCAGTGCTTCCCATACAGCTTGGCCGCGGCAGTCGCCGGTCTCCAGGCCGAACCTCTCGGCGCCCTCCATGCCCCAGACGTCGAAGACGTATTCGACGGCGTCGCCGTCCACTGACATGAGCGCCCCGCATCCACGAGGCGAAGAGTCGACGTGGATTCTGGGCGGCCCGGTGTTGTCGGCCACCAAGATGCGCTCGGTGGGGGCGTCGCCCTTCGACCGGAGAAGCGCCGCCAACAAAGCCGGTGCGGGCCGGGTCCTGCGCGCCCCAACTCTCGCCCTGTGGGCCCCGCTCGCCGTCGGCCCAGCGGCCCGGAGCGCGTCGGCAATGGCGGCCCACGGCGGCGCCGCCTGCGACTGCAGCGCTGGCGCAATCCCGGCCGCCCATCCAGGCTTGCCTTCTTGTCACTGCGCCGCCTCGGCTGGCGCGGACTTCTTCGCCGAGACTTCGCGCGCCGCGCCGCCTTCGCGGCCGCCTCTGGGAAGGCCGGCGGGGTGGCGGCCGTGACTGCGATCGCCGAGCGCAAGGCGAGTGCCGCGCCGACCCACCTGAACACCTTGCTGAACGCGCCCTTTTTCCAATATCGCCCTGGCCCCGACAAAACTGCGGCGGGCGCCAGCGCCCCCCGCCCGCTGGGCAGGGCGGGGGGCGGGTGGGGGGCGCCGAGAAGGTGCAGGGCAGAGAGAGCAAGCGATCGCCCCGCTGCCCGGGTGGACAGGGCGGGGGCGCTCGCCGCCAAGGGGGCGATGGCGAGCGCGCCTGGGCGGGCCAGAGCAGCGTCGGAAGCCGACCCACCAGCGCGGCTGGCGAGGGGCGGGGGGGCGGGGGCGAAGGGGGGCGCCGAACTGGTGCGCGTCGGCGGAGAAGAAACTGTGACTAAAAACAAGCGGGCCGCGTGATTTTGAAAAATGGGCCCCTGCTCGAGCGAGTCGCGGGGAAGGGGGGGAGGGCGCCCGGCGCGTGGAAGCGCGCGGCGGCGACGCCGGCGATTAGCGCCGACGCCCGGCCGTCAGCTGGAGCGCGACAAGCGCGACGCAAGCGGCGCCGCTGCGGAGGGGGGCAGCAGCGCCTCTGCTATGGCGGGGCGATTGGGCCAAGATGGCTACAGACAGAAGAGGGGGCAGGGGGGGGGGGGGGCGCCTCGGCTGGCGGGCGGTGCCGACATGGCTGCGGCCAAGAAAAAACAATGGGGTGGAAAAACTGCGAAAGCAGGTGGGAAGGGCCCCTCCTTCTCCTTGTCTGCCCCCCCCTCCACCGCAATGTCGTGCGGCGACGGCGGCGGCGCGACGACGCACTGCGGATGCTCCATGGGGGCGGGGGGGCGCGGGGGGGCCGCGCGCGCCCGCTGCGCTCGTCGTCGACGACGACGACGAGGGGGCGAGGTCGAGGGCGAGGGCGACGACGAGGACCGCGACGACGACGACGACGACGGCGGCGGCGGCGACGACGACGACGACGGCGCGACGACGATGACAACGCGACGTCGACGGCGACGGCGCACTGCGGATGCCCCATGGGGAATTGGGGGGGTGGCTGAAAAGGCCCGCTGCTGTCGTCGGTGAGACGACGTGCGACGACGGCGACGATGACGACGGCGACTGTGGCGCGTCAATAGTCAGCCTCAGAGGGGGGGAAACTTTGCCTCGGATGCATACTATCCCGATCGCAACTTTTGTGCGAAAGGCAATCGTTTTGAGGCTGCCGTGCAGGGGGGTGCACGACCCCCTCGGCGGCGCCCTCGACGACCCCCTGGCGCGCGCGATTCAGAACATTATTTCGCGCCGCGCGGGATCTATTCGTCAGTCCTGGGAGGGAGGGGGGGGGGGGCGTCGTCTGCGAGTCGCGAGCTGGCGTCGCGTCCCGTCGGGCTCGACGCGGCCGAGTAAATCGCCCTCTCCCGCCTCCTCCACGCCCGCGCGGGCCCCCCCGTGGCCGACGAAAAGGGGGGGGGGGGGGGGGGGGGGGCGGGCCGCAATTCGCGACGTTCGTGGCAACCCTGGCGGGGCAGCCGAACCGCTGCCCAAACCTTCAAGGTCCGTCTCGGGGCCCCCAGCTCGCTCGACGAACGCGTCCACTTGGTCGGCAATCCACGCCCACCCCTATGTTTGGACCGCGCTCCCCGCGGCTGCTGCCCTCGGCCGCCAGCAGCTTCGCGCCCCAGTTGCGGTTGTCTTGTCGTTGAGCCATGTCCGCCGCCCGCCCTTCGCTGCTCTCGCCCGCGTCCTCCTCGAGCGAGTCCGCCGCCTCCGCCGTCCTCCTATCCTCGAGGGTCTCCGTGTCCAACAGCTGGTGCGCCGCCCGCGCGGCCCCCGTGATTCTCGGCAACTTTCGCACTGCTCTCCAAGGAGATCGGGCCCCCATCCCCGCGCAGTCAACATTGTCCGGGGCTCTTCGCCCTTGTCCGGACGGCTCGCTGGCGCGGGGCACGGCGGCCGCCCTGGGCTCGGGCGCGTCGGGGGCGAGGTCCGACCTGATCAAAGCATTCCCCTAATATCAAGCCCGGATCGGGGGAGTGCGATCACCGACCTGCCCGCCCGACGTCGGACCGCGCGAAGCTCCGGCTGGTCGGTCCTCCGCAATGGCCTCATCAAAACAGCGGGGGGCCTGTGCTCTGCCGGGCGCCCTGGCCGTCTCGTGAACCAAACTGCAGTCCGCCCCGCCTCCTCCCAGAGCGCTGGCCTCCTCTTGCGCCCCTCCTGCGCCGACCTCGCCGCCGCCCCTCTCGCGACTTCGTGGCCGAAGCTGCGGCCCGCGCCCGCTGCGCGCGGGGCGCCGCCCTCCGTCTGCGCGTCTCCTGCGTCGACCTGCCTCGCTTCCTCCCTGCGCGCCCGCTCCCCCTCGCTGCAGCTCGCGGTCTCCAGAGCCTCCGCGCATGGGGCCTCGCGCGCCTCGCGGGCGGGGGCGCCCGCCGCTTCGCGTCGGAACTGGGGCCGGCGGCCCCCGCGCTGCCCGGCAGAGGCCCGGCCCCCCGTCGACGCTGTCGGCACTCCTTGCCCTTGTGCTCGCAGGTGCCGCAGTTATCGAGCGCGCGCGGCCGTCGGGGCATGGCGTCGGGCAGCCGGCGTCGTTGCGGTTCCGCGCGTGGCAGACTTGGATCCTACTGTTGCCCTTGCTCTTGGCCGTGCCGCCCTGCGCCCTGCGGCGTGCCTTTGTCCGCGTTCCTCCTCCTCTCCTCCTGGTTGGGCCCCGTCTTGATCCTGGCGAGCTCCTGCGCGAGCGTCTGGCCGCGACCGCAGCAAGGCCGGGCCCCCCCCCCCCCGGCCGCCGCCCCCCCCCCGCGCCATCTCCTTCGCGCGCCTCCCCGGCCGCCCTGACGTGGAGCCCCGCGTCTGCCAGCTCCCTCTTCTCAATGAAACCAGGCGGCGTAGAGGGGCGCTACCTCCGCGACCTCGGAGCTGCCAGTGCTCGAAGTCGCTGGCCGCCTAGGGGATGACGGCGTCCCAAGGCCACCTCGGATCCAGACCCGTCGCGTCTTCCGCCCTGCCCGTCGACGCGTCTGCCTCCAGCTTGCGTCGACGGCGCTCCATCTGGTCCGCGATGGCGATGGCCCGCCGCGAGCGGCCACGAATATGCCCGTATTTGATGTTCAAAGCCACAGTCTCCAGACTCGCCCAGGAGGCGGCCCCCGGAGCCACCGTGATGAACGCGCAGACGTTCCACGACCTCAACCATTCGTCGACGTTGGGCGGGCCTGGCAACTTCTTGGCCGCGAGCTCCGCCGTAACTCGCGGGGCCCCACATTTTGGCATGAAACTTGCAGGAGCGCTCATCCCGAACGGCCGCAAGACTTCTTGGCCGCACGCCACGTCCTGCGACAGCTTCACCGCGATGCTCTCCTCGTCCTCCGTGGGGCTCGGGCCGCCATTTTTCGCCTTGAACCGCTTGGCCGCCTCGCTTAATGCCTCCGCGCCTATCGCCTTCGCCTCCTGGTCGCCCCTCTGGTCCACAACGCTGGAGATCTTGAACTCCCTCTTCCCCGGCGCCGTCGCCGACGTCGGCGCCGAAAACGTCCCTGGAGATGTCCCTGCCCTGCCCGCGACGCCAGCCGATCTGATCACGACCTGGTCCAGCGTGGCAGTGCCCTGGGACAGGTTTTGGAGGCCCTCGTAATTCTCCACGGCGCGCTTACCCACCGCGCCGACACCAGGATGCGCCGCGCCGCACCACGGACGAGACCCCCTGTCACCTTCGTCTCTAGGCAGGCCTGCAAGGAACCTGGTGTACCGCCTCAGCATCCCCACCCAGGTCTTTCCCTTGGCGCTGAACCCCCGCGTGACAGGGTGTACACCTCCGTCGACGGAATCCTGGGCGTAACAATGAGCCTCGCCGAAATCGTGGCGGACCCTCAGTCCCCATCTGGGATGAACTTCAGCTCCCTCATCATGCTGATACCCCCCAGCGCCGTGAGAAAAGAATCGCTCGCTTCAGTGGACATCCCGATGAAGTCCAGCAGCGCCTGCAGCGATACCTCCGCCTCGACGATCCTCGTGAACTCTTCTTGCGTAGACAACTGGTAGCAAAACAACTTTTTCGAATCTGTTCCCAAAGAATGCGCCCCAGGCATGCCTTGAGCCCAAGGCCACGGAAAGTCCCCGCTGTCACCCCTACGGTTGGCCAATAACGCCTTCGTGCATTATTTGCGTTCCTCTCTGCGTTCCGCTGGGGGGGTCCCTGCGCCTGTTCCATGCTCCGCTACCTCTGCATCCTCCTCCCAATCATTTTCTTATACCTCCTCTTCTTCCTCTTCCTCCGTGCCCCTCCACGGACAGTTCGGAGGCCACCGGAAGCCCCCAGAGTTACGCAGGGGCTTTGGAGAGCCTCACATGCCCCCAAACCCTCATCTTCCATCCCTCCTCCCTCGTCCTAGTTCCCTCCTCCTGACCGAAATGCCCTCCTCCTCCTCCTCCTCCTCCTCCTCCTCCTCCGCCTCTTCCTGCTCCGTCTCGCCCTCCTCCGCTCCTCCGTCTCCTCCATCTCTGTTTCTGTTTCCGTGAACTCCTCCAACTCCTCCTCCTCAGAACCGTCAGATTTCTTGAAGCTTGAAAAACGCGGCAAATTCACTCAAGATCGAAACCCTCGACCGCCCCCTGTCCAATGCCATCCTCCTCCTCCTGCTCCTCCTGCTCCTCCCCCCGCGCGCGCGGGTGAGTGAGGGAGGGGAGGGGGAGGAGGGATAAAGAGGGAGGAGCGGAGGGAGGTAGGACACTTCTCCTCCCCGTCTCCCTTCCTCCTCCTCCTCCTCCTCCTCCTCCTTCTCCTCCTCCTCCTCCTCCTCGTCCTCGTCCTCTTCCTCGTCCTCGTCCTCTTCCTCGTCCTCGTCCTCGTCCTCCTCCTCCTCCTTCTCCTCCTCCTCCTCCTCCTCGTTCTCGTCCTCTTCCTCGTCCTCGTCCTCTTCCTCGTCCTCGTCCTCGTCCTCCTCCTCCTCCTTCTCCTCCTCCTCCTCCTCGTCCTCCTCCTCCTGCTCCTCTTCCTCCTCTTCGACGACCCCCCTGTGCTGAACCAGCACTGGCCGTTGAGCCTCTCCTGCCCAGGCACCAGCCGGAGGCTGGCGAGCTGGGCCTCCGTCTGCCGCGGGTCGTCGACGCTGCACACGATGTCCCTGGCGGCCACCCGCGGCTCGCACGTGCAGCGGGTAGGTTCTCTTCCACCTATCTTCCCCTCCTCCACCTACCTTCTCCTTTCCCTCGTCGTCCGTTTCGTCCGTCTTCTGCGACCCTGTCCTGCAACCTCCTGCTGCCATTTCCTCCTCCTCCTCCCCCTCCTCTGCGTCCTACCTTCTGATCCTCCCTCTGCCCCCCCTCCCCTACTCATCCCTCCTCCTCTTCCTACTCCTTCTCATCCTCCTCCTCCTCCTCCTCCAACCTTCTTTTCCTCCTCCTCATCCTCCTTCATGTCCCCCCTTCTCCTACCTCGTTCAACTCCTGCTACCTCCTCCCCGCATCGGGTCCGCGCGTGCGCGACGTGCTCTGCTCTTCGGGATGAAGAAGAAGGGAGGAACCTGATGCATGCAATTGTTTTGGGTGGTCTTGTTGGTGAATGTCGGGGAACGCTGCTTTTCGTGGTATGGAAAAAGTGCGCGTCCGTGCGCTTTGGAACGGATCGCTGGCACCGAGAGGTCGCGCATCGAGATTGGTGATGTCGTGTGGTGAGCATCGGCATGATCAAACTTAAGTCGTTCTTGAGAAAGCACACAAGGTTTCAAACATCAGGTGGGAAAAACGGTGCTTGTAGCTCCAGAAAAGCGCTTTCTTCCGCCTTGCGAAACGCAATGCTTTGTCCTTGTGCCACTGCAGCGGGGATGTCCGCAACATCGTAATCGGAACGGCTTCCCGTCCAGAGTGCCCGTGAAGAGGCCGAACGATCTTACACACTGGCAGGGGTCGGTTGTGACCCCATTGTGTGTACCCCCTGCGGTGTGATGCAATGTTGTCGTCGTCGTCGGGCACCCTTCCGTCGAATCCGCAACTGCGGGGAAGTGTGGAAGGCGAGGCGAAGCGAGGTGAGGCTAGGCGCCGGTCAGCCGTCCTGGGGAGCGGCCCTACGAGAGCCCGGCGGTGGCGCCAGAACGCCGAAGAATGTCCGCGTCGCGGAAATCGTGGAAAGTGAGTTTCCTTCCTAGATACTTTGTGCTCTTTGTGCTTCGCGTCGGGGAAATATAGGCTTAGGTCGGGCATGTCCCCCTGCAGGCGGATCTTGAACGAAAAATCAGGGAGACTCAAGGATACCCAGGACTAGTTAAGAGATGCTCTAAACATCGTCCCCAGACTATTTTTGGACTATTTTTGGGCACTCCTCCTGTGGAGGGGCGCGCCCGACTTAAAAACATAGGGCAGGGCCCTGGTCCGTCTGCCCTCGTGCGGTCGGCCCCGCCGCGGGCCGCGCCGTCGACGCATCGGATCGCAGGAGGCCGCGGGGCGAACGCGGGCACCGTGAGGGCAGGACGCATTGAGTATCGTTCAGCCGATCCCCATCCCCAGCAGCGTGGCCAGGACAGCCAGCTCGAGGTAAGATGACCTTAATACGTAGACCCTCGGCCACCAGCCGAGGGAGGGACTCTGTTCGAAGTGTGGGCACAACAGGACATAGGTAGAATATGACTGCGGCCCCCCAGCGCAAGTTTAGCGTGAAGGGGCCCCCTGCTTCCTCTCCCTCCTCCCTCCTCTCCCCCCTGCGTCGTTGGGTGAGGTCGCGTCGTCTTCCCCCCGGCCGACCTACCCCCCTGGATGGGGATATAGGCTGTTCCCGTCGGGTTTCGAGGGGAGTGGTCCCCAACTGGGGTGGTAATTTGGTGGGGGTCTCGAAGGGGATGGGGATGGGGATGGGGATCGGTTGACCGATACCGACGTATTCCGAGAAAACTTCGAAGAAGGCGGAACAGCTTGAAACAGAGGGCAGAAAGTCCACTCCCATAAGAATCACCCTGACGCCATAAGCCGTTCAACAAGCGCACCCACAGAAGGAATCTGGCAGGGCAAGGCTGTTTAGTAAACGGCCAGAGCCGTGTAGTAAACACCAATTATGGGGTCCGGGTAGTTTTCCTCCCTTGAAAGGAAGAGCCTCGAAGGCAGCCCCCGACGGTGTGACGGCAGGCCCCCCATGTTCGCCCCGCGGCCGTCTGCGCGTCGTCGAAGGTGGGCCTATGTGGGAGGCAGCGAGGCGCAGGGAAGTCTGCGCGCCCGTGCCACGCAAGCGTGTCATGGCACTCATCATCATGGTGAGCGTCCTGCGGCGAGACACGGCTGGACGCACATGCGGACGCCAAGCGTTCCATGTGCACCCATCGGCGCGCCACACCAGCGTGCCATGACATCCGTCATTTTGATAACATGCACGACTGGATGTATATGCGGAGGGCGAACGTTTCAGGTGTGTCCATCGCTCTGCTATACCAGCGTGTCAGGGTACATCAAGAGGATGCCCCTGATGCGACAACACACGCATAGCATTCAAGCGCTTCCCCTGGGGCGTTCAAGTCGCCAGCGTCCGCTGCTAGATTCTGCCTTGGGCAGAGGCCCAGCGGGTCGCGCACGCGTTCGCCCCGAACCCTCCTCCACCTCCTCCTAATCATGCTCACCTGCCAAAAGAGAGGCGGCACGACAGACGAGACGGCAACGACACGACGTGGAACACTACCCGCGGCTCGGGCCCGCTGGGCCCCGCCGCCATGCTGCGAAGTCCGAACAAGTCCTTCCTCTCCTTCTCCTTCTCCTCCTCCTGCTCCTGCCTTCTCTGTCCCCGCCCCTCCCTGCCCCCAACCCACGTGGCAGCGAGGACCAGGCGGGCGGACCCTGACGGGCGGATAGGGCGGGCCTCAGCGGGCGGGAAACAAAGTCGGGCGGACTGTCAAGCGAGCGAGCGAGCGCGCGGGCGGACCCTGACAAGCGGGTCGGGCAGACGGGCCTCGGCGGTCGTGTCGGGCGGGTGGACCCGCACGGGCGAGTGGAGCAGGCCAGCTCCCACGGGCCCGGGCCCGGCGGGCCCGAAACGGTCGGGGCGAGCTGGCGGCAGCTAGCGGTCGAAGTCGGACGGGCAAGACGATAAACCAGGGGGGGGGGGGCGGGCTTTGCGCGCGCACCTACCTACCTACCTACCTACCTACCTACCTACCTACCTACCAACATACATACATGCATACATACAAACATACATAACACGTCGATGAATGTATGCATGTATGCATGCATGCACACATGTATGTATGCGTGTAGATACGTAGGTTGGTAGGTCGGTAGGTGCGTACGTACGTATGTCTGCCTGCCTGTCTGTCTGTCTGTCTGTCTGTCTGTCTGTATGTATGTATGTACGTATGTATGCATGTATGTATGTATGTATGCATGCATGCATGTATGTATGTATATATATGTATATATGTCTGTCTGTCTGTCTGTCTGTCTGTCTGTCTGTATGTATGTATGTATGTATGTATGTATGTATGTACATACACATATCTTTATAATTATATTTATAGGTATTCCCCAATCAGAGCTTGCCCCTGTAGGGCTCCTGGCGGATTCAAATGGTTAGGTGGGGCTTGTCACCGATTTCCGCGGCCCGCCCGGGTGCCGGGGTGCCTCATAGTCCTATAGCCCTATAGCCTTACAGCCCCATAACCCAATAGCCCTGTTGCGCTATAGCCCCGTAGCTCTATACCCCTATAGCCCTATTGTCCTATATCCCCTATAGCCCTAGAGACAATAGCCCAATGGCCTTATAGCTCTATAGCCCCACAGGCCCA